ATAACATAGAGCCTACTGCAAATGTGCCCTTAGTGACAACCCAAAATCGCGCCACTCGACATACAGCCGGCATCATTTCGGTCTGCGTGTACTCCGTTATCAATTGTGTTGCACAGGGTCGCTCGTTTTAGTTATCACTCTTCTTGCCTTTTCTTTTCTAATTCTATCTCTTCCTCTATTTAGTCATACTCTCTTGCTTTACAATTCTTGCAGGTTTGTTGATGAGCGTGAAAAGCTATCCCGTCTTTCTGCTTTTTCACGACTTACCCAATTGCTTCGCATATGCAAGAAATAGGGCGATACACACCGCAAACGCTTTACTTTCCACGAAGGTATGTGTTCCGCAAGATCACCGTCTATAAACCTTTCAAACCAGTTTTGAAATTATCAGCACTTTGCTTGACAACACTAGAAAATTGGATCCGATTGGGAAATATAGCTGAATGTGCATTTGAGAAAGAAAATTAAAATAAGCGATGATCTATGTTTGCCAAATCTGTTTCGTCGTTTGTGGGTGATATGGTTGAGATGAAGTTATGATAGAGTCTGTTCATCCAAATTTGACTCGCAAGTGCCGTACAATTTATGGCTTACGAACACGCGATGCGCTCCATTTGATGCCTTTGACTTGTTTACGTTGATAGGGCCAAGCAGAGTGGGAAGCACGCGGAAGGCGACAAGCCTCGAAGAACGCTCGCAACTTTTTGACAGTTCAACTTTTTCTTTCGCTTTTTAGCCCACAAGCAAAGAGTCTTGATTCTGTAAGCAAAAAGCGCCTGTTGGGCAGGATGTACTATTAATCTACGAGCGCTTTTCGAACATCGCTTTTCACCATAAACCCAGCAGATTCAAGCGGAAGGAAATTGGAAGCGCGCATCACGTATCAGCGCTGCTACGGACAATTGTAGACTTGCGTCAGGCTTGGAGGAACATATCATACGTGCCCTGAAATTTCTTGAGCTCATTTTATGAGTTTGAAAGCGAGCTCCAACTCAGTTTTGTGAAATTTACGCACTATATATTTCAAATTTTCATAAATTGCAAGTACAAAAATCAGTTTTGAGGTACTGTGGACCATAGGGCAAGTTCTCTGCAGTAATATCGTTGGGTTCTAGCCAATGATTACTAATGCCAAATGCAAGCTGTAATTGGCTGGTATGCCTGAACGCATTAGTTCTTTGAAAATATATTAAATTTTAAAATTAGTTTAATTGAAAGATCGTGATCCTATAGGAAATTTGCTTATAATCAAATTCAAATTGAAGCCATAAAGTTTTGCTTGTTTTATGTATTTGGTTGCTTTTTAGAGCTTTTCGAGTAAAAAACTCGGTTTTTTTCGAGTTCGCTCGTGCGAGAATCAACTCTGTGAGTTTTACGTGGAGGTATTTGGCTCCTTTCCCTTCACTCATTTGTATGTTAACAAAACATTCGCAGAACTTTCTGGGATTCAGCTTAATCAAGAGGTGAGTTGGTGATTGCCCAATAGCCCTTACCTGTCTTTCAATACTTAGG